GGACGGGAGTAGAACGCCCCGATTCCCTCCCGCGGAGCGGTTGCTGGTTTCACATGGCCGACTTTGCGGATCGCTGCCCAGCACCCAACCACGGAGGCACCAGGGCTGCAGAAACGTTTACTGGGGGAATTCCGTCTGTCTTTCCAAGGCTAGTGTGACGGTTCCAGAGTAACGATGGGTTCCCGCGCCCTCCCCCAACTCTAGTATGAACCCCCCCCCAATAACGTTCGTTTCCAACGCCTCCACCCTAGGGGACCCTCACCAAATTCTGAACCACTTGACCCAGGCTACTAGCCTTCAGCAGGAGGAAGGTTGCACAGGAGCCACGACCGAACCAGAGGAAGGGGCGTGCGTGTGTGTGGGGGGGGTTCCATACGGAACTACAATGGAGGGTCTTAGGACACCCCGGCCCCCCTCGGTCCCCATCCCGAGGACACTGAAAGTCACCTGGGCTCTGGCTAGCCCCATCTAGAGGGGTTCCACTGTATCTGGGGCGAGGGAGGTGGGGGAGGGTCCAGAGCCCCTACTTCGTTGACCAACTCACCCAAGGAGCAGCCTGCAGCCAGGGACTTGTCACCACTGTGCTCACGGGAGATTTCTCGGTCTGAAGTCTGCAGGTGGGAGTCTGGGGTCGAGGGGGGCTCTGGAGGAAAGCCGGAGCCGTCTCCGAACCACGCGGCCATGGCGCTGGCGGGCACAAAATGGAGTTTGCGCGGGAACTCTCGTCCCAAAGGGCATGGAGAGGAGGCGTTTCCTGGGGTCAGAGCAGACCTCACTTCCGGCCCCGACTGCGCATGCTCGAGGCGCTGTGAATCTGACACCCAGGAAATCTGTTTCCAGCCGGGCTATCCTCCACTCTCCCAGAGACCTTGCCTCACAAGAGTGAGGGGGCCTGAGGGAGGCTCCGGGATGGCTGTTGAAAACCCAGGAGAGTGGGGGTGCTAGACTGTCGACCCCAGTCTCTGTGCGTTGCATCACGTCGTGTGCCTACATCCGGCAAGGCCAACGGACAAAGATGCTGGCTGCCTGCCAGGCCCTGAGTTTGCTACATTTCTTGTATTTGTTCTTATCGTCCTCGCAAGCGGACTGCGAGTGCACAACTACCAACTCGCTGAGGTTGCTGAGCCTTCGTGCGGTGCAGGAGCTCAGATGCTACCTGGGAAAGCACAGTCGAGGCGAGAGGCGTTCCCCCTCCCACGGCTAGCTGCATTAAAGTCTTGATGGACTGTTGGGGTTTCTGAAATCCTGGCAAAATAAATGAGGCCGTGCTGGATAATATATGAAAAAAAAAATGAATCTGAAATCTAAAAGGGAAATGACCGACTTTGGTAGTTCCCTGAAATGAGATTGGACGCTGTAGCAGAGGAGGGGAAGGGGGTTGGGAGGAGAGATGGAGACCCAGGTGGGGGCGGGGTATGGGTGCGGGGGGAGGTGGCAATGGGGGAGGACAGCAGGGGCGGAGGCGAGACGGAGTTGAATCTTGACTTAACCTTAAAAGGTGAGGGGGCCTCACTATAAATGAATTCTCCCCTTGTTGTCAGAGCAAGAAATGTAACAAAGTCTGCAATGAGGCTTTGGGGGCGCTTCTGCGTTAGCCAGAACATTTTTAAAAAATCATTTTCTTGGGGGCACGTATAACTCATCACTCTCCATACCTCCATCCATTGTGTCAAGCACATTTGTACATTTGTTGCCATCATTATTCTCAAAACATTTGCTTTCTACTTGGGTCCTCATTTCCCCCTCCCCCGCTGGCCCTTCCCTCATGAACCCTTGATAATTTATAAATTGTTATTATTTTGTCATATGTTACACTGTCCGACGTCTCCCTTCACCCACTTTTCTGTTGTCCATCCCCCAGGAAAGAGTTTATATGTAGATCCTTGTAATTGGTTCCCCCTTTCCACCCCACCCTCCCTCCACCCTCCGGGTATCGCCACTCTCACCACTGGTCCTGAAGGGGTCATCTGTCCTGGATTCCCTATGTTTCCGGTTCCTATCTGTACCAGTGAATATCTGGTGTTGCCGGATTTGTAAGGTAGAATTGGGATCGTGAAAGGGGGGCGTGGGTTTGGGAGGAAGCCTTTAAGAACTAGAGAAAAGTTGTATTTTTCATCGTTGCTACCCTGCACCCTGACTGGCTCGTCTCCTCCCCGTGACCCTTCTGTAAGGGGATGTTCAGTTGCCCACAGATGGGCTTTGGGTCTCCCCTCTGCACTCACCCTCATTTACAAAGATTTGATTTTTTTGTTTAGAATTATTCACTCCTTGGAAGCAGTCACAGTCTCTTGAGAGAAGTGCAGTCCCTGTGTGAAGAGAAAATAAATATGTGTGAGTGTGCAAACATTTGGGTAGAGAGAAGTATGACATATGCACAAATACACATGCAGATAAATCAAAATGTGCTCTTTGAAAAGAGAAAAATCTATGAAAAGTTTTCTAAACAGATGTGAAACTGTTATCCAAATTTATGAGATAATTTTATGTTTTTATCCCAACAAACATGCCTAATTATAAAATGATAAATATAAAAACGTCTCCCTGGAGAATCATTGTGCATCCATCCAAGATTCCCTCATTGTGGTCCACTGACACCAGGTGTCAAGAAATCAGTGCCCATTGTGCAGCTAAGTTTCTGTTTCTGTGTGTGCCTACCTTACATACTTGTAAGTGTTCAAGAGGTATGCATGCAGTGTAAACATTGGTAGCCACGCAAATCATGTTCCATAAATTTTTCTTCATCTTCGGATTTCGTTTTTTCAGCTAATAGCATCGCTCCAGACTTTTATTACAGAAACATCCTCCTTTTTAGGCCAAATATTTGTTAGTATACTTGCCCAACTCTCTCCTACTGTTTAATGAAAGTCTGTTATGATTGTGCATATTTTAGCAAAGTCTGTTATTTTGTTGGCAAATATTTCACTCTCCCCTCACATTTTAAAATAATCTTTTCTGATGACAGTAAAAAATCCTTTAAAATTTTCATTGCATTTTATTATAAAGTAAGGTACTCACAGCTGAACAAAATTGAGTAATGCCCAGGGTTGCACCAAATACCAGGCCACTAGAGATTCCAGCTTTTACAGCTTGGCAGGCTTCAGGACACACTGGGAAAAGCTTTAGATCTAATTCAACATTTGTGAATACTGGGTACAGTAATTAGATACTTGTCTGGCTTAAAGGAACTACATTGTAAATTAATCAATTTACGTCTGGATTATAGTAATTCTCTCATTTTAATTACCTTCCCTTGAAGTTGGCCGCTTTTCCCATGCTTCTGAGAGCCTCAAACCACATCCTTGACAAGCTAGTCCATGTAGCCCTACATCCATATGTGAGGTGTGAAGTCTCCTTTCAGTAAATTATTTGGCCTTTGGTCCTAGTTCCTGAAAGCCAGGCCATATCTGGGGCTGACAGAGTAAGAGGGACCACCCTGAAGGCCCAATGCTGACTGAGTCTCATGGGTCATGCAACCCATTTCTCAGGGTCATTCACTGAGACGAATAACGTCTTTGGAAGACAAAGGCTCAGTAGAGCTTCCTGGATGGTGACTCAGCAGCTGCTCTGTGGAAAGTGACCACATCTCCTGGGGACATGGAAGCTCTGAGGTGAGACATCTCGCAGGAATTTCTATCTAGGTTTTAATTCTTTTTTTTCTGCTTCAAGTCCTCCTTGCTTTCAGCAAACAAGATTGTGTCCTCTACATAGCTCTGATTGCTAATATCTCCAGTCCTGATGTCACCTTCTTTTTTATATAAGCCAGCTCCTCTGATGATTTGCTCAGCATAAAGCTTGAATAAATATGGTGAGAGGTTATAAACTTGTTGAATGAAAACATTCTCTGATTTTAAACCATGCAGTCTTCCCTTGTTCTGTTCACACCCCACTACTGTTTTTTGATCCATGAAGGAGTACAATGAAGTGTTCTCCAGTTCCCATTGTTGAGGTTATCTATAGTTTGTTATGATCCACAAGAAAGGATACTCCAGAACAATATCCTTTACATATATAGATAAAAGTGACTGCAATATACTGTTAATCCAAAACCACACCATAACATGGGATTATATACTGTGACCTAGTGGTATTTATCCCAGAAGCACAGGGATCATACATACATCATAACAAAATCAATAAAAATGTTTAAAATTTTTATGAGATCACATTTATCTATTTTGCCTTTTCTTGCTTGTGCTTTTATTTTTTTTGCCTTGCTTGTGCTTTTAGTCCCAAATCTAAAAATCTGTTGTTGAAGACTGGTCACTCTCAAAGCATTACCTCTATGATTTCTTTTAAGAGTTTAATGGTTTTATGACATGCATTCAGAGTATTATTCCTTGGTACATAATTCATGCAAACCTATTTAAATGTTTCATATTTCCTGCTATTGAAAATAGTGTATTCATGACTAACATAGTATTTTCTATCCAGTACGGTTGTTTTGTGTATATTGGTTTGCTGCAAAAGATTTCTTTAAAGTGCTGAAAGCAAAGATGTCATTTGAGGACTATGGTGTGCCTCATCCAAATCATGGTACTTTGAATCACCTCATATGCACTTCACGGTTGGTGTTTCAAATGACAGCAGGGTCACCTAAAGTGAACGGTTTTTGTTCGATTCCTTGGTCCTTGGCTTCTGCAAGAAAGAATTCACATCGAAGCCTGGTTTGTGATCCAAGTGAGTTTTTATAAAGGATGGAAGAAGTGTCAGGCTACACCCACATGTGGCTACCTCAGGTCAGAGAAACCGCAGCTTTGCCAAGAAGCAGCGAGCTGTAAAAGAGCTTGGTGGTCGCAAAGTTTCTGGCTTTTCAGGGCCCTCTACTGGGAGGTGTGATCAAAGGTCCTGGCTGACCCCATTGGCTGAATGAAGCGCTCCTGGCCTAGATTGGGCCCCTCCCAGGTATACTGACTTCCTGTCTCAAAGGCCCTTTAGCCTTTATCGGCTTCCAACTTCCTGTAGGTGACCCCTAGGCATGGAGATGAACAATACCCTATCCAGCAACCTAACAGTTTCAGCAGAGCTTCCAGGAATCGGTGGCTCAGGAGAAGAAGTGGCTATGCCATATGGTTTTTTTGGTGGGGTTTTGTGTGCGCGTGTGTGTGTGTGTGTGTGTGTGTGTGTGTGGAATGGACTGGAATATTCTTTGAATCATATTACCAGGACTTTCTTCCACGGCACAACTGAGTGGGTTCAAATGGCCAAACCTTGGGTTAGCAGTAGAGTACAGATCATTTGCAGCACCCAGGGATTTGCTCCAAGCATCAAAGCAAACAAAACCAAACATACTGCCATCCAGTCTATTATACCTCATAATGATCCGATAGGGCAGGGTAGAACTTTTCCTCTGGGTTTCTGGGACTATAACTCTTTTGGGGATTGGGGGTAATGGGGGAGAAGCCTTGGCTTCTCCAGTGGAGTAGTTTGTGTTTCAAACTGCTGACCTTATGCTATGAGCCCAATACTTAATCACTATGACATCAGAGCTTCAAATACAATGCCTGACAAATAAAATGGCATTTACTATGTTTATTAAAGGAATTGAGATTTGAGGGATCACAAATCTATGCCATCCTCCCACTTTCTTTCAGAAAAATGAAGTACACTCCCAAATTTTATGAAAAAATTATGTCCACATTGTTTTGTAAAAAACACATTCCAATGTTTCAAAAAAGAGAAAACCAGTTGTAAAGAGCAAGGTAATAGTATCTTCAGAGAATGAAACTGTTGAATTCGCTCAAAGAAATCAGTCTCATTTAAATAATATGTTACTGGTAAACTTAGTAAGTTTATTTACAGTTTATCACCTTGCCTAGAGGTGGAATTTCAAAATAGCTACCATAAATATTCCTTTGTCTATATTTACAGGTCAAATCTGATTACAAGGCATAATAATTCAGATATCAAATTTTTTAAATGATAATTCCTAATCCAAAAATAGTCAAGTTTGTGTGAAGCAGTGTTTGGTAAAATGGTTCTAATAAAAAAAAATAGTTTACAGAGCACACAGGAGCAGATGATGGGGGAGGAGGAGAGACTGGAGCACATCCTGGCCCACCAGGTCTTGAGGACAATGACCCCAATTAGAGCAGCCAGTCCACAGAGAGGACCACGTGGCCAGCCCCACTATGAGAGGTGATGCACCTCACTGACCCATGGCCCTGCGGGGGACAACACCAGTGACACAGTGTGGGAATTGCACCCGATCTAATCCC